GTCTTTGATATTTATCGATATTAAACCCCGAAATAACAAGCGCGATTTCACAGATCGCAGAGAAATTGAAGTTTTGCACAGCTTCCATCTGCTCATTTACGCAACGGAAGTCTTCGCTCACTCGACGAGCGCGCAAATCGCGCGATTTCCACGCATTTTCTAATCAACGACCACGCTCACCATCGGCACTGACGATCTAATTAAAGCTCGCATGCGAAATTCCGCGCGTTCCACGTATAATCGGTTTAAGCGTTTGCGCCCGACATGGCGCCGCTTAATTCTAAGCGATCTCTCTCTTATGAATACACGGGAGTATCTTATATATATATATATATATATATATATATATATATATATATAACAGGAATAATTAAATATATATATATAATACATACTCTCAATGTATGCACAGACCGTGTTCAACAAATGACGAGGAAGAATATATCTTTTTATACGATTTACCCTGAAATACCTTGATTTACCTATAAATTAATCAAGAAATATTTCAAGGTAAATCGTATAAAAAGATATATTCTTCCTCGTCATTTGTTGAACACGGTCTGTGCATACATTGAGAGTATGTATTATATATATATATTTAATTATTCCTATTTGTTGGCCGCTGAAATAATAATCTGTAATCGATTTCACAGCGGCGCTTAATTAGTTGTTCAACCAGATGTCTATGTGTTCTGAGTTCATTACCACATCTTAAGACAAATGCATATTCACGATGCACATAAGCGCGCGTTGGCGCGAATTATATATATATAAATATATTTATATATATATATATATATATATATATATATATATATAATTCGCGCCAACGCGCGCTTACTTATGCGCATCGTGAATATGCATTTATCTCAAGACGTGGTAATGAACATAGAACACATGGATGTCTGGTTGAACAACTAATTAAAGCGCCGCCGTGAAATCGATCATTACAAATTATTATTTCAGCGGCCAACAAGCAGGAATAATTAAATATATATATATATATATATATATATATATATATATGTATATAATACATACCCTTAACATATGCACAGACCGCGTTCAACAAATAACCCTTCTTTGGGATCTTTTTATACGAAGAATCTTTTTATACGATTTATCTTGAAATATTTCTTGATTAATTTATAAACGATTTTCTCGTGATATGAATTTGATGAAAGAGATTATTAAATATTAATGTCATATCAATTATTAATGTCATGTGGTTAAATTATTTTATTAAATTTAGTTTTAGAATTATAATAGCATTTATCAATTAATAATAAAATTCTATTGATATAAATGTATCGAGATTGTAACAAGTATGAGTGCGCCAAATTTGTATTGTAATCATGAACTCTGTCGTCGTTAAACAGTTAAGTGTACCTACATAAAATTTACAGTACCATAGACAGATATCAGTTTCTTTATAGCAAAGTGATAACGTGCGTTATCGTTAATGCGATAACGGTTACTCAGATCGGTTACAGCTATTTCATTGGCATATTAAATTGAAACTGTATCTACGGGTAATTCGGATTCTAATGAAAATGCTCCCTCGGAAAATGCTCTCGACGAATATGCCGAGTTGACATACTTGAGTGACATTCATCAGTAAATAGAAAAATTTAATTTCATACAAATCACTAAAAAGTACGTATGCTAACGAAAAATTTGGAAAATATTATAAAAATGACGCATATCAAGTATCGAGAATTTAAATCCTTTTATGTGTAACAAACGTTTTTTCAGTTTACAAATATATCTGTCATATTTCAATTTTAATTTTAATTGAATTAATTAATTTTTTTTACAATTTCTAGGATTTATAAATTTGTAGGCAATTTGGAACAGAGGTATTTTTAAAAAAAAACTTTATTATCGCTTTTTCATGGAGTAGGTCGACAAGATTCTCCCGCAGATTCGCGTAAAAGAGTTCCGAGAGTTTCACATTATTTAATGTAAAATATATTCTTTTTATTTATATGAATCATTCTAAGCTGAATAACAATATATGCTTAAAACTTTTAGAAAGAATACTGTTCAAAGTTCCAAGTTCCAGCAAAAAAGAGTTTTGATATTGGATTATCACAATATACAAGAGTTTCCGTTTTCTAAACATCGTATATCACACAGCAATAAATCCTTCTTAAACGTTAGCATTTTTTCCTGCAAGTTAGAAATTTACACAAGGCGATGATTAACTGCGACGCGACGAGCTAAACACACACACACACACAAACTGTTCTTTAAATATTATATAGTCTTCATCAGATCGTCACTTTAATAATTAACACATTAGAATTAAACTCCAATACTTATTAAACATTTAATTAATTTGGACTTTATTTGAATTTTAATTAATTTGGATTGATTTTTCAAAGATTAAGTATGGAGCATTGTCTGCATGTTGCAATACGTTTCTCAAAGCAAATGAAAAAGAGAGAGAATTTGTGTACGTATATAAATCAAGTTTTTACATGATGAAAAAAAATGATTCTCAAATGTTTTTATTTATTTACATAGGTTTAATTCAAATATAAAAGAGATAATATAAAATATAGAATACGCGATATTTTCAGTGCAACCCGTTCTGCAACGTGATATACCGGGCATTCTCGTCAAAACAGGACAGACATTTGAGCTTTGAGGACATTCTCGACTTCTGTTCAGTCTTCTCCGCGAATTGTCCCCAGGGCGTTCGAGCTTTTGAAATTTTTAGTAAGCTCGCAGAAATGCAATTTAATCTACATCCGCAGACTTTTGTGTGCTCGGAATTCTAACTTTCGTCCCAACAAATATTTGCAGTCCACTGTCCTACACGCTCATTAAACATACTCGCGGACAATGCATCGGTCACTAAAAATATAATTACAAAACTCTGTCGTTTGCTAAAAAAAGTCTTGATATTATGATACAATAGTTTTCCAAAATGCGAGCAAATCTCATCAAATGTACGGAATATCTTTAGCAAAGCAGATCAACGTTTATAAATTAAAGGCTGGACACATGCAAAAGACTGTCTCTCTTTCAACTTATAAACATCTTATTTTATCGAAAATATTATATAAAAATGTAGTATATAGCTGAAATAGTAGTATAAATTGTAAATCATCGAGCATTTATATAATAGCGGTCGATGATTTGCAGCCAATTTCGTTAATCAAGATTATTTAGTTTCGCGGGTCGATGTGTCAATTGCTGTGTCGCGCTCTTGCAACAATCTGTTTTTGCAATTCTATTTAGATAAATTGAAGGATTATATAATATAAAATTAACATATAAATATCATTTCGTGCCATTTTCAATTATTATATACATATATATATATATATATATATATATATATATTTATATTTATTTATTTTTCCTAATTATCATTATTTAAATTTCTAATTAAATCTCCCCTTTATATCTGTAATAAATATCACTTATTTTAATATTGTATAATGTGACAGGGAAATATATCGTATTATTCAACATTAATCGCATACTTGCAAAATTCCAATTACATATATAATCTGAATCATCTGTATCTGTAGTATTTGATTAACACATATATGTTATTATAAAGATATTACGCAAATTAATTAAAAAAAGAAAAACTCAAAAGTCAATATATGTGAAGAAATACTGCATTATATGAATATTTTTCATGATACAAATTATAAAAAATTCTTCTTATCTTTTGTATCTTATTTAGTTTTATCTTTTATGACAAATTTACCTGTCAACATTGCAAGATGCATATCATTCATTGTTTCGAATACATGAATGCAAACAGCGACCATCACTGATTGTCTTTATTTTTAGATTTCGACGGCAACTATCAAGTGTTTCTCGACGATCTGATCGAGGCAATCCAGAGGCTGGCAGGTTCAAATGAACGCGGACAGATCCGAATCGATCGGCAACGTGCGGAGAACATAGCGCGAATGGTCGGTGTGCATTCCTGCTGTGCGTTCTCGACAAAGGACGGAATCGGGAAGCGATTAATCCTTTTGCCGAAAGCCGCTTTCTGTTGCAACAAATTTCCGGTGGTGGTTGTTGATTTCGCGGCAGAAAGTAGGTGAATTGAAAGGAACTACCTTTCGTGAAGTGAAATTAATTCTGCGAAATTGTACTCGTACGATCTTTAAAACCGGAAATTACTTTTAAAATCATTAATTTCTTTTTTATCCTCCTTTATAGTGAAAAAACAAATTTATTTTTATATTCTCTACTTGAAATCAAGTATTTTTATTTTTCAGTAAAAAATGTTTCCTCTCCAAAATGATAAAAGTTTCTTTTAAAAGGAAGTAAAAAAGAGAATTAATCTTTAATATAAATTACTGTCTTTCTTTTTTTCGACTTGGAAAAATTTCTATCAATTCTTTTTAATTCACTTATTTTTTTACAGGCTCATCAATACAATTTTGATTATAGCAATTTATAATTTTTCCAATAGCACTTGTTCTTTCAGATATTGTGAGAAATAGATCTTTCTGGCACAGGCAGTATTGCACCACAAGAATTTATAATACAATTTACAATACTTTCAAGAATGTCAGACTTTGCATACACATTTTAATTCAAAATTTAATAAAATTCTTCATTTCCAACTTTTTCCTAGACAATGTTTCAGTATCTTTGTACAACAAAAATATTTGTACGCGCGCATGTATTATATTTTACTTACTTGAAGAATTATTTTGTTAGAATTTTATTTCAGAAATTGTTACGTAATATCACAATCATTATTTTACAAAAAAAGCTTTTTTTAACATTAAATAATTTAATTTAATTTAAATATTTATGACTATATTTTATTAACTTGTGTGAAAAAAACATAAATTAGAATTAGCAAAAATTAATATTAAAAGCCAATTTAAAATTAATAATGCAAAGAAATGTTTTATTTCATAAAATTAAATTTTATATAAAAATATCATTAATTGAAAATTTTGGTTTAAGAAATTTAATATGATTTTATTCTTAAATAATCAATTTTTCCAGCATTTTTTTCTTAAATAATTAATGCAATTTCTAATCGTAAATCTTTTCAAAATGATTTCTTGATTCTTATAATTTAAATTATTTTTATAACTTAGACATCACACATTATATCCATAGTCTGTATTTATTATTATATCCATAATCTGGAGTCACTGAGTTTCTGATTATTACCAGTGTCCAGTTTCAATCTCTTTGTCTTCATTTCTTTTTCATTTTCTTTATATGTGAACTAGAAATTGGATTAGGATATTTATCATACTTTGCATGTCCTCCGAAACCATCAAAAGTCATATCATTACCACTGTTAGTTTTCTAAAATATATGTAAAAAGAATTATGAATACTCAAATGTATAAAAATAGAGAATTATATTAAATAAAAATAAAAAAATAGTTTACTTGACTTGGTGCATTAAACTTTGATTTTTTGGCAAGTATAGAAGGTACTTTCAAATTGGTATTAGATCTCTCCCTTTTAATACCATGATCTTTCATTGAAAAGAAACCTTGTGATTTTATGTTTAGTGGAGTCATTTCAATACTATCCTGCAACAAATATTAATTTCAAAAATAATGTGATTGATGAAATGTATTGATGTAATAAATTACAGTTTACTTACTTCTATAATAATACAACTATCATTCTTTTTGAGTTTTAGAGCATCAACTTCACTCTTGTTTATTATTTCATTAAATTTTACTTTGGGACAGTCTTGTACTTTCAAACTGTCTTGCTTCTCTACAGATATTTTACTAGAGGCACATTTACATACACTTGTTTGCATATCAAGTAGCTGATTTTGCAGAATTATCTTTTCACTTTCACAATTAATCAATTGTTTTTCCAACTCTCTAAAAATAATAGTGATATAATGTAACAATATAACCTAGGAAAGACAATTAGAAAGGTGATTCTTTAGTTTCAAAAATGTTATGTACTTTCTTTTAATGCGTTCTTCTGATAAAGATTTGTTTGTTGTAAAAACTCTTGTTAATTCCTGTTGTAAACTTTTAACTTTATCTCTTAACTCTCTCTTCTTTTGCAAATCAGTATTCATATTTCTGAAAAATACATTAATTAAATTATATTAACATATTATTTGCATTTATACAATCAACACATACATATTATATATATATATATATATATATATATATATATATATATATAATAACCATACTTTTTCATTATTGTTATATATGTCTTAAGTTTATCAATGTCACAAGTCATCGCTATTATATCATCCACTTCATCCACAGAAGCATCTAACAAAGCCTGCAAACTGTAAAATTCACTATTAATTGCACAATTTAATAGAACTTATAAACGACATATATTTTCTCTTTTTCTCTCTCTAAAATCTATAAGAAAATTATTTAAAAAAAATATATTTACTTTTTTAAACTTTCAATATCTTTTTTCAACTGTTTTATTTCATTCTTATAAATGTCTACATCCTGACATTGCTGTTTATAGAACTTAATTTGCTGCTTCAATGCATGAATCGCACTATTTTTGCCATTTATTTCACTTTCAACATGTCTAACTTCTTGTCTTAAACCAGCTGTTTGCTTCTCCAATTTTTCTTTGATTTCAGTAAGATTATTGATATTTTGGTCCTTCAACTGCAGCTGAAGGGTCAGATTATCAATTTTATACTGTAGAGAAGTGGGATCTTCTACGATGCTATCACTGTTTGAGAAATTGAAATATATCCTGTATATCTTGCTCTCGGTTGTCCTTTCCCTGCATTGTGGGCATGTTTTGGATCTTTAAAAAAATAATACGTTATTCTCTACATATATATTATCAATGTTTTAAATACATAAATAATACACAAATATAAATTTTGAAGAATAGAATAAATATTTCATCAAATGATAGGCAAGAACAGAAAAACAAAAAATATAAATGAATACAATTTTTGATAATATCAAAAAATTACCTCTCCAGCCATTGTATCAAACATCCGAAGTGGAAAATATGTCCACATGGTGTGTGGAAAACATCATCGGACGATACTAATAATTCACTGCAAATCACACATATTATGTTCATTTTATCCAGTTTTGACAATCAAAAATCAAACTTCTTCCAAATATAAAAATTTATATCGTAGTAAACCGATGATACGAGAATGATAAAGCTCTCGATATATTTTGATGAATATTATGTCATCGTGAATTTTTCTTCGCACTATCCCCAAACTGTGAAGAAAACGTTAAAATTGTATGTACAATGATATAAATTTAAAAAAACAGATTTGTGGTTTTATCAGCTGTGAGAGGCAAACAATATTGCGCCAAAACATTGAAACTTTTAAGTAATGCCATCTGTGGTGTATATTTCTCATCATTAGATAAAGTTTAAACTTTTCAGAGCATGGTAATATATCGATAGAGTATTGTTAAAGATTTTCGGTCGATAAATCTTAAATTATGACATGCACAATCATCAATGATATTGAAGATTATCAGTCTTGCATTTAATTGGATTCCTTTGTCATCATTCGCACGATGACTCTTGAATAATAAAATAGTGAGAAACGCTTCGAATATTGTAATTTTCTTATTAAACACGATTAGTATCGAAACATAATTTGTTTTAAATATTAATAAAAATTAATTAACAATATGAAACTATATCGCAACCATAAAACTTTATCGAATTGTAATGCTTCATTACTGCGATTAAAAATTGAAACAGGAGATATATAAAAGGATAAACAAATTAATTATGTAATGATCTTTCGATCATTGCTGTTAATTATAATATTTCTTTAACAATATTATTAAAATTAAATATATTTCGAAAATGCTTTAAATTTTCTCAATCCTGATTAATTAAACAATATACAATTTAATCGAGAATCGATTAAATGATAGGAATCCAAAATATTAAATAATCGCTTCGATCGTTGTGATTTTTACAGACAATAATTATTATTTTAATATTTAGAATCACAAATATATTTCATCCGTGTTACTTTATCGTTCTACTTGATAATCTAAATATAATTTAGGATGTGAAAGAACGCAAAGGTAAAACAATCGAATTACAGATGCACATAATTAACATAACAAAAGATTCCGTGATAAATTATTTAATATATAATCAATTTTAATCAGTAAATTAAAATACTTCATTAACTTAATATTCTGCGTAAATGTATATTTTATACAATTTATAAAATACAATTAAAAATTATTAATACAATTTATACAATTAATACAATTAATACAATTTAAAATATTTCAGCAAATTATCGATAACACGGCGTTCGACTTTGGCAATATAAAATATAAACAGTAGCTCTCTATACGTTACCGCTTTGTCATCATTCGCACAGTGACTCTCGAGTAATATAGTTGTGGTGAGAAACGCTTCGTATATTGTAATTTTTTTTGTTAAACATGATTATGATTAGTCTTGAAACATAATTTGCTATGAATATTAATAAATGTTAATTAATTAAAAATTAATTAACGACATGAAACTGTATCGCAACGATAAATCTTTATCGAATCGCAATCATTCATTACTGGGAACAAAAATTGAAACACGGGATACGTAAAAGAGGATAAAAAAATTAATTATGTTATGATATCGATCAATGATGCTTATTGTAACATTTCTTTAACAATATTAGAATTAACTATAATATATTTCGATCAATGCGTTACATTTTCTCAATCCTTGTTAATAAAACAATGTACAATTTAATCGAAAATCGATTAAATTATAGGTATCCAAAATATTAAATAATCACTTCGATAATTGCGATTTTTATGGATAATAATTATTATTTTAATATTTAGAATCACAAATATATTTCATCCGTGTTACTTGTTCGTTCTATTTGATAATCTAAATATAATTTAGGATGTGAGAGAACGCGAAGTAAAACAATCGAATTATAGATGCACATAATTAGCATAACAAAAGGTTCCGTGATAAATTGTTTAATATATAATCAATTTTAATCAGTAAATTAAAATACTTCATTAACTTAATATTTCACGTTAATGTATATTTTATAATATATAAAATATTTTAGCAACGAATTATCGATAACATGACATTCGACTTTGGAAATATAAAATATAAACAGTAGCGCTCTATACGTTACTGCTTTGTCATCATTCGCACGGTGACTCTGGAGTAATAAAGTAGTGGTGAGAAACGTTTCATATACTTTAATTTTTTTATTAAACACGATTACGATTAGTATCGGAACATAATTTGCTATAAATATTAACTAAATTAATTAATTAAAAATTAATTAACGACATGAAACTGTATCGCAACAATAAATCTTTATCGAATCGTAATCATTCATTATTGCGATTAAGAATTGAAACAGGGAATACATAAACCAGGATAAAAGAATTAATTATGTTATGATATCCATCACTGATGCTTATAATATTTCTTTAACAATACTAGAATTAATTATATTTCGACCAATGCTTTAAATTTTCTCAATCCTTATTAACTAAACAATATACAATTTAATCGAGAATCGATTAAATGATAGGAATCCAAGATATTAAATAATCACTTCGATAATTGCGATCTTTACGGACAATTATTATTTTAATACTTAGAGTCACAAATATATTTCATCCGTGTCACTTTATCGTTCTTGACAATCTAAATATAATTTGGATTGTTGAGAGAACACGAAGTAAAACAATCGAATTATACATGCAAATAATTAGCATAACGAAAAGCTCCGTGATAAATTGTTTAATCAATAATGAATTTTAATGAATAAATTAAAATATTTGTATAATTTAATATTCCACGTTAATGTATATTTTATAATATATAAAATATTCAGCAAGCGAATTATCGAACACGGCGTTCAACTTTAGCAATACAAATTATAAACAGTAGCGTTCTATACGTTACCGCTTTGTCATCATTCGCACGGTGTCTCTGGAGTAATAAAGTAGTGGTGAGAAACGTTTCATATACTTTAATTTTTTTACTAAACACGATTACGATTAGTATCGGAACATAATATGCTATAAATATTAACTAAATTAATTAATTAAAAATTAATTAACGACATGAAACTGTATCGCAACAATAAATCTTTATCGAATCGTAATCATTCATTATTGCGATTAAGAATTGAAACAGGGAATACATAAAACAGGATAAAAGAATTAATTATGTTATGATATCCATCACTGATGCTTATAATATTTCTTTAACAATACTAGAATTAATTATATTTCGACCAATGCTTTAAATTTTCTCAATCCTTATTAACTAAACAATATACAATTTAATCGAGAATCGATTAAATGATAGGAATCCAAGATATTAAATAATCACTTCGATAATTGCGATCTTTACGGACAATAATTATTATTTTAATACTTAGAGTCACAAATATATTTCATCCGTGTCACTTTATCGTTCTTGACAATCTAAATATAATTTGGATTGTTGAGAGAACACGAAGTAAAACAATCGAATTATACATGCAAATAATTAGCATAACGAAAAGCTCCGTGATAAATTGTTTAATCAATAACGAATTTTAATGAATAAATTAAAATATTTGTATAATTTAATATTCCACGTTAATGTATATTTTATAATATATAAAATATTCAGCAGCGAATTATCGAACACGGCGTTCGACTTTAGCAATACAAATTATAAACAGTAGCGTTCTATACGTTACCGCTTTGTCATCATTCGCACGGTGTCTCTGGAGTAATAAAGTAGTGGTGATAAACGTTTCATATACTTTAATTTTTTTACTAAACACGATTACGATTAGTATCGGAACATAATATGCTATAAATATTAACTAAATTAATTAATTAAAAATTAATTATCGACATGAAACTGTATCGCAACAATAAATCTTTATCGAATCGTAATCATTCATTATTGCGATTAAGAATTGAAACAGGAAATACATAAAACAGGATAAAAGAATTAATTATGTTATGATATCCATCACTGATGCTTATAATATTTCTTTAACAATACTAGAATTAATTATATTTCGACCAATGCTTTAAATTTTCTCAATCCTTATTAACTAAACAATATACAATTTAATCGAGAATCGATTAAATGATAGGAATCCAAGATATTAAATAATCACTTCGATAATTGCGATCTTTACGGACAATAATTATTATTTTAATACTTAGAGTCACAAATATATTTCATCCGTGTCACTTTATCGTTTTTGACAATCTAAATATAATTTGGATTGTTGAGAGAACACGAAGTAAAACAATCGAATTATACATGCAAATAATTAGCATAATGAAAAGCTCCGTGATAAATTGTTTAATCAATAACGAATTTTAATGAATAAATTAAAATATTTGTATAATTTAATATTCCACGTTAATGTATATTTTATAATATATAAAATATTCAGCAGCGAATTATCGAACACGGCGTTCGACTTTAGCAATACAAATTATAAACAGTAGCGTTCTATACGTTACCGCTTTGTCATCATTCGCACGGTGTCTCTGGAGTAATAAAGTAGTGGTGAGAAACGTTTCATATACTTTAATTTTTTTACTAAACACGATTACGATTAGTATCGGAACATAATTTGCTATAAATATTAACTAAATTAATTAATTAAAAATTAATTAACGACATGAAACTGTATCGCAACAATAAATCTTTATCGAATCGTAATAATTTATTATTGCGATTAAGAATTGAAACAGGGAATACATAAAACAGGATAAAAGAATTAATTATGTTATGATATCCATCACTGATGCTTATAATATTTCTTTAACAATATTAGAATTAACTATATTTCGACCAATATTTTAAAAATTCTCCTTGTTAATTAAATCCTTATTAGTTAAACAAGTTATGTATCACAACATATAATTATTTTAATCTTTTAATCTTACGATACATTAATACGTTTGATATATGAAATACATTAATATGTTAAAATATTTCAACATTGAATTAACAACATATAGTATCCGATATAAACAGTACCGCCTTAATGATTTTGTTTTTCGGTCTTATTATGAAAATTTAAATTTATATACCATATCACAAAATATATATTAAATTATATATATTATATTATATATAAAAGAAGTTATATATAATATAACCCTCCCATGGGGTACACCTTGTCGTGGTGGGAGGGCTTAGTACTTGGATGGTGCCTTGAGATTTATCTTAAATTTTTCTATTTATGATAATCTTAAGGTGCTTGAAAGGGAAGCTAAGTACCCTTTCGCGTTGTCGGTGCCGTCAACGTGCCGCGGACGGCTGCGCTTCGTAACCGCGTTTTCGCGTTATAGCATTCTCGCGTTATCGCGTTTTCGCGTTTTCAAAATCCCAATTTCGTTTTTGTCAACGAGTCTCTCCTTCCGACGCCAACTAACTGGGATGTTTCATCGAGTCGTTGCTTTGCGACGTACTCGCGCC